GCAAATTTTTAAGTATATAATGCAGTATTGTTAACTGTAGGCACCATGCTGCACAGGAAATGTCTAGGACTTACTCATCTTGCATAACTAAAGCCTTCCCATTTCCTAATACCTTCCCATTTCCTCCTCTCCCTAGCCCCCAACAACCACTATTTGACTCTCTGCTTCTATGAGTTTGACTATTTTAGATTCCACATAAGTGGTATCATGTAGTATTTGTTCCTCTATGTCTAGACCATTTTACTTAGTATAATGTCCTCCAGGTTCATCCATGTGTTACAAGTGGTAGAATCCCACTCTTTTTAAAGGCTGAATAATATTCCATTTTATGTATATACAGTAGTCCCCCCTTATCTGTGGTTTTACTTTCCACAGTTTCAGTTATCCCTGGTTAACTGCTGTCCTAGAATATTAAATGAAAAATTTCAGAAATAAACAATTCATAAGTTTCATGTTTTGTGTCATTCATAGTAGTATAAGATCTCACACTGTCCCCCTCAGTCCTACCCGGGATATGAATCATCTCTTTGTCCAGTGTATCCACACTGTATATGCTCTCCACCCGTGAGTCACTTAGGAGCCACCTAGGTTATCAGATCAACAGTGTCAATATCACAGTGCTTGTGTTAAAGGAACCCTTGTTTTGCTTAATAATGGCCCCAAAGCACAAGCATAGGGAGGCTGGCAATTCAGATATGCCAAAGAGAAGTTGTAAAGTGTTTGCTTTAAATGAAAAGGTGAAAGTTCATGACTTAATAAGGAAAAAAAAATCATATGCTGAGGCTGCTAACATCTATAGTAAGAACGAATCTTCTATCTAGAAACTGTGAAGAAGGAAACAGAAATTCGTGCTAGTTTTGCTGTAGCACCTCAAACTGTAAAAGTGATGGCCACAGTGCATGTCAAATGCTTAGTTAAGGTGGAAAAGGCATCAAATTTGTGGGTAGAAGACATCAATAGAAACATGTCCTGGCCAGGCACAGTGGCTCACGTCTGTAATCCCAGCACCTTGGGGGGCCTAGGCGGGCGGATCACCTGAGCTCAGGAGTTCAATACCAACCTGGGCAACATGGTGAGACCCAAACTCTATTAAAAACACAGAAATTAGCTGGGCGTGGTGGCGGGCATCTGTAATCCCAGTTACTCGGGAGGCTGAGGCAGGAGAATCACTTGAACCAGGAGGCGGAGGTTGCAGTGAGCCAAGATCACGCCACTGCATTCCAGCCTGGGAGACAAAGGGAGACTCCACCTCAAAAAAAAAAAAAGGAAAAAGAAAAAAAGAAAAAAGAAACATATTCTGACTGGCAGCAATGTATTGCTCCAGAAAGCATTGAGTCTATATAGAAAGACTTAGCAAGAAATTTCCTGAAATGAGCAAGCCATTTACTGTAAGTAAGGGATAGTTATACAGATTCAGGAATAGGTTTGGACTGAAAATATAGAAATTACTGGAGAGACTGTGTCTGCCAATGAAGAAACTGCTGCCACATGAGTACAGTACAATAAGATATTTTGTGAGAGAGACCACAGTCACATAACTTTTATTACAATATATTATTATAATGGTTCTATTTATTATTGTTGTTGTTAATCCCTTATTGTGCCTAATTTATAAGTTAAACTTTATCATAGGCATGTATGTATAGGAAAAAACATAGCATATAGAGGGTTTGGTACTATCTACAGTTTCAGAGATCCACTGGGGGTCTTGTAAAGTTATCTCCTGAAGATGAGGGAGAGACCACTATACCACGTTTTCTTTATTCGTTTGTCCATCCACGGACATTTAAGTTGCTTCCATGTCTTGTCTATTGTGAATAATGCTGCAATGCAATGAACATGGGAGTGCAGATCCCTTCCAGATCCTGATTTCAGTTCCTTTGGCTATATACCCAGAAGTGGGATTTCTGGATCATCTGGTAGTTCTGTTTTTAATTTTTAAGGAAATTTCATACTATTTTCTATAGTATCTGTACCAATTTACATTTCCATTAACAGCGTTCAAAGGTTCCCTTTTCTCTACATCCTGTTTCGTTCGTTTGTTTGTTTTTGTTTGGCTTTGTTTTGTTTTGAGATAAGAGTCTCCCTCTCTTGCCCAGGCTGGAGTGCAGTGGCGCAATCTCGGCTCACTACAACCTCTGCCTCCCAAGTTGAAGAGGTTCTCCCACCTCAGCCTCACAAGTAGCTGGGACTACAGGCACGTGTCACCATGACCAGCTAATTTTTGTATTTTTGTAGAGATGGGGTTTCACCATGTTGGCCAGGCTGGTCTCAAACTCCTGACCTCAAGTGATCGGTCTGCCTCAGCCTCCCGAAGTGCTGGGATTACAGATGTGAGCCACTGCACCCAGCAATACATTATCTTTCGGTGTTTTATAATACTCATCCTAACAGGTGTGAGGTGATATCTCATTGTGGTTTTGATTTGCATTTCCCTGATGATTGGTGATATTGAGCACCTTTTCATATATCAGTTGGCCATTTGTATGTCTTCCTTTAATAAACATCTATTTAGTTCCTTTACCCATTTTCTAATTAGGTTGTTTTTGGTATTGAGTTGTATGAGTCCCTTATATATTTTAGATATTAACCCCTTATCAGATGTATGGTTGGCAAATATTTTCCTCCTTTTCATAGGTTGCCTTTTCACTCCTGCTTGTTTCCTTTGCTGTGCAGAAGCTTTTTAGTTTGATGTAGTCCCACTTGTTTATTTTTGCCTTTGTTGTCTGTGTCCTTGGTGTCTTGTCAAGAAATTGTTGCCAAGATGAACGTCAAAAAACCTTTTTCTCTGTATTTTCTTCCAGGAGTTGTACAGTTTTGGGTTTTATGTTTAATTCTTTAATTCATTTTGAGTTGATTTTTGTGTATAGTGTATGATAAGGGTCCATTTTCATTCTTTTGCGTGAGGGTATCCTATTTTCCCCACAGTTTTGTCACTCAGGAACCATTCTTGTCCTTGGTTCAAAGGAAGAACTCTCATCTATAATACAGAGGAGACACAAAATTCTATGAGCTACCGTATCATCTGGGGCAGTGTTGATTTAATTACATTCCTATCTGGAACCTAAATTATAATATTAGTCACCATCAGACTGTTCATCAAGGAAGCAAGAAGAGGGGAGTGAGAAAAAGAAATAGTTGATTAACATAAAATATGCATAGCTGTTACAGTATCCAATTGCTGAAATGGGGAATGAATTCCCTCATCTCCCTCTCCCTACACACAGGGAATCAGCCCTCTTCAGCATAATATCTTAAATAAACACCCATAGGGCAGTTACCAGGCAAGCTTGTGTTGAGCCTCTTCTGGATCCACACTCTCATCTGCTTCAAGTCCATATAGAGAGTTAGACTCAACAATAGCATGAATTACAAAAGAACAAGGCCTGGCCCAAGAAAGACAGCTTTTATCCCAAAAGAGTCCTAAGACCTCACCAGTCTGTATTGACTGAAGCACAGGAAGCATGTTCAGAAGTGAGTTCTAAGGGTATGAGTGAGACCAAGGAGGAAGAAATATAAGACTTGATAGAGGTGAATTCTTCAGCACAGGTGTATTCATCCAGAATTCAAAATTTAAAGTTCAAGCACTAAGATATGTTGTAATGGTATGTTAAATTGGCTAATTAAAACCTGGACCCAGGGATGGCCTGCAGTTATTGAAGTTTAAATGCCTGAACTTCTCTGATGTCCTATGGAATACGGAGTCCAAAGGTTCAGGGTAATGGATATAACGAAATGGATCTATGTACAAACTGTTTAGCTATCCCCCTAGCCATGCCTCCTGGAAACACACAGAGGACACTTCCTTCACCAAGGCATTTAGAAAAAGGCATCAATGTCTTTCCTCTTTCCTCTCATTCCTGGGAAATTTCGTCTGAAAGCCATTAGGTGGAGGCAGAGCAATGGAGGCATCTGAAGGGCAGAATGTTAAGTCTGAGTAGAGTAGAAAGGTGTTGTATAGGGTTATGGAGCTTAAGCAGAGTATGAGGGCACCCATGCATGTATGGAGGGCATCACACATAGGAACAGCCTGAATGGAGTGGCAAAGCCCAAACAGGGAAAGGAGGAACTTCGTGAAGAGGGGTCGCCTGGCTTGGGGTTATAGCACTCAAGTAGGATTAGGAGAGTGTCCACACTACTGGACAGTCCAGCATGAGGAGTCACAGCCAGAGCAGAGGGAGAAGGACATCCCTAAGAAGAGGTGGCTTTAGAGTCTGAAGATGGTGAGGAAAGCATCCACATGGGTTAAAGGGGAATGCCTGATGTGGAGAATCAGAGCCCAAGCAGAGTGAGGAAGGCATCCTTCAAGAATGGAACAGGGTGCTTCTTTTTTTTCTCTCTCTCTTTTTTAAAAATTATACTTTAAGTTCTAGGGTACATGTGCACAACGTGCAGGTTCGTTACATAGTTATACATGTGCCATGTTGGTGTGCCGCACCCATTAACTCGTCATTTACATTAGGTATTTCTCCTAATGCTATCCCTCCCCATCCCCCACCCTCTGACAGGCCCCGGGGTGTGATGTTCCCCACCCAGAACAGGGTATTTCGAAGCCTAAGTGAGGTTAAAAGAGTGTCCATAGTGGAGCACAACCCAGCATGCAAAGTCAGCGCTGAGCAGAGTGAGGAAGGCATTCACACAGAGATGCAACCGGGCATGCAGTATCAGAGTCCAAGTGGAATGAGAAGGGTGTCTGTGAAGGCAGGCAGACTCATACAGGGCAACAGATTCTGTGCCAGGTGAAGAGTACCTCAGTGAAATGAGGTGGCAGTCTAAAGCAGGGTGTCAGAACCTGAGCAGGGTGAAGAAGGCATACATACAAGGGTAAGACCTGGAATGGGGTGACAGAGTCCAAGGAGAGTGAGAAACCCTTCTCACTCTCCCATCCATGGATACCCATCCATGAAGGGGAGAGACTTCCTGGTGCAGGGTGTAAGAGCCCAGGTGAGAGGCTCCCTGGTGTGGGGCATCAGAGCCCAAACAGTGTAAGAAAAGCATCCATGTGGGAAGAGGGGCAGCCTGTCATTGAGGGGTCAGAGCCTGAGGAAGAGCAGGGTAAGGAGGGCATCCCTGGAGAGAGATGGCCTGGCGTGGGGTATCAAAACCCGCAGTGCAGTCAAGAGTATATCCACACAGTGGAGGTGAGGTGGGGTGGGGATGGGCGGTGTACAACATCACAGACTGAGTAGGACAGAATGAGAATCCTCACCAAAAACAGTATCCTGGTATGGCACACCAGTAGCCAAGAAGGGTGAGGAAGGCATCCATGCCGAGTAGTGGCCTGGCAATCAGGTGTCAAAGCCAAAGTGGGGTTAGGAGATATCTTCATAGGGGAAGGGGTGGTAAAGACATAGATTAACTACCTAGAGGGAGGGGTGTAATAAAATCATTAAGGATAACTGAAGTCATGTTTCTCACTGTCAGAGAAGGGAGTTACCAATATGGTAAGGGAAAAATAATAAAATAAACCTTATGGTATCCGATTGGAGTCAGAGGTCCAATTAGAACTTGTAATTTTAAATATAAAAATATAGATGTAGGTCAGGCGCAGTGGCTCACGCCTGTAATCCCAGCACTTTGGGAGGCCGAGGTGGCCAGATCACAAGGTCAGGAGGTCGAGACCATCCTGGCTAACACAGTGAAACTCTGTCTCTACTGAAAATACAAAAAAATTAGCCGGGCATGGTGGGGGGGGCGCCTGTAGTCCCAGCTGATGGGGAGGCTGAGGCAGGAGAATGGCGTGAACCCGGGAGGCGGAGCTTGCAGTGAGCCGAGATCGTGCCACTGCACTCCAGCCTGGACGACAGAGCCAGACTCTGTCTAAAAAATAAATAAATAAATAATGATAATAATAATATAGCTAGATAGACAGATAGATAGATGTATACACACACACACGTATATATATGTCCTAGCTCTATCTGCTGAGATAGCCTGGGATTAATGACATCCCAATAGCAACAATCACATTTAGCATACCAGATCCCAGTTTCTAAATACCATTCTTGGCTAAAAGAAGCCAGAGGTCCTTGGAGAAATGACTGATTACAGAGCTGGGACAGAAAATGATAAGATGAGCCTGGAACACCCCTTTGAGCTAGAAAGCAAGGAAGTGCTCAAGAATGACTGAAGGCATGTCAAAAGAACATATAAACCAGCTTAAAGTGACTTCCATTGGGCAAATTAGTGACAATTTGAGGATCAGACTAATGATAGTAACACATTATTGAATAAAATAAGAAACAATGAGTCTATACTGGTACAGATACTGCTTGACTTACCATGGGTTTACACTCCGGTAAACCCATTGTACATTGAACATATCATGGGTCAAAAATACATTTAATACACTGAATCTAGCAAAATCATAGCTTAGCCTAGCCTACTTTAAATGTGCTCAGAACACTTACACTAGCCTATAGTTGGGCAAAATCATGTAACACAAAGCCTGTTTTATAATAAAGTGTTGTACACAAAAGTGTTGCACACAATTGGGCATTTTGTAGACACAATAAGATGTGAAAACACAAAACACAATATCCAAGTAATGTTGTCAACACAGTCTACTATAAAATTTTGGTTGTTTACCCTCATGATCTCATGGCTGACTGGGAGCTGCCATAGTCGAGCATCGCAGGAGAGTACTATACTGCATATCGTTAGCCTGGAAAAAGATTAAAATTCAAAATTTGAAGTACAGTTTCTACTAACTGCATATTGCTTTCACATCACTGTCAAACATCACAAGTCGGGGACCGTCTGCATGTGTATATATAGCCACAAATGTATTCTTAACAAAATAGGGAGGAAATACTCATGACAATTATAATCTGTGTTTCTGTAACTGGTCTTGTGGTCGTAGCTGGTATTTATAACTATGTTCTACTCCCATTCTATATTCCCTTTGCCTTCAAAAAGCACCTTAGTTGGTTGTGGTTCTTTAATTGGCATGGTGACCCAAACATTTATTTGAAGGGTGTGGGTCATTTGTGCTCCTACCTGAATTGGGTTGTTGCAGTTTCCCCTTAACCTCAGCCAGAAGGCATGCTAACACTAAGATGCCCTAAGGGATCCCTTGTATTCTAAACATACTCTTTCTTACCTCCTTTGTAGAGAACTAATCCAATTTCCCCTTGGTAGTCTGGATCAGTCACCCCAGCTAACACCATAACTCTCTTCTTAGCCTGTTGACTCAGAGTTATGAGGGCCCAGAGTGGCCAGGTGGCAGTTTTAATTTCCAGTTCAGTGGAATCATTGTTACGTCTCCTGGTGGAAGCATTTCTCCCTCTGGAACTAAGACCTCCAGGCCAGCAGAGCATAAAGTCATAGGAACAAGAAGCAAAAATTTTGCTTGTGGGTCACTACAGGTAATGATAAGTGGTGTCATTCCCATGTCCACCTCTTGATTCCTGGACCTGTGCATCATAATTACGGGAGATACAGTACTGTATATTAGACACTGATTAAGAGCAGAAACAGCCTTCCAAAGAACCTTGCCCAGCTCTGCAAAGTACTGTCATCTACCTGCTACTGTAACTGTGTCTGCAAAAGGCCATTCCATACCACACAGTAATTAAAAAAGAACAAAATGGTACCGTTTGCAGCAACATGGATGCATCTAGAGGCACAAATATCTTCACAGTTTTTGCTAGTTCAGATGTCCATCCACATACCTCTTCCCCGTATTTCTTTGTCATCAGTTTCCCAATCATGTTCCTTCCAAATCCCTGACTATGTAGCCAATCCACTGGCCACGTTCCATGAATTGGTCTATAATTACATGTCTGGTTCTTTCTCTTTTCAAGCAAAGTGAAAAGGCAGGTGTACTACTTGGTGTTCTGTCCACCAGGAGGATTTTCCTTCACCATAGTTCTTTAGGGATGTCCCAGAAAGGGGCTGTAGTGCTGTAGCTGTCCACTTTCTGGTGGAGCCTTCATATCATGAAGAACTATCTAAACCAGGCCCAAGTCTTCTCTTCCTCTGTCAACTGATCAAGATATCTGCAAACTAAGTTATGACATAGGGCTAGAGGGCTGATATACCCCTTCACAGGCAGAATAGTGAAGGTGTATTACTGGCCTTTTCAGCCGAAAGCAAACTGCTTCTGATGGGCCTTATGGATAGGGATGCAGAAAAAGGCATTTGCCAGGTCAATAGCTGCATACCAGGTACCAGAAGATGTGTTAATTTGCTCAAGCAATGAAACCACATCTGGTACAGCAGCTGCAATTGGAGTCACCACTTGATTAAGCTTACAATAATCCACTGTCATTCTCCAAGATCTATGTGTCTTCTACACAGGCCAAATAGGAGAGTTGAGTAGGTATGTGGTAGGAATCACCACCTTTGCATCTTTCAAGTACTTGATGGTGGTACTAATTTCTGCAATTCCCCCAGAAATGAAGTATTGCATTTGATTTACTATTTTCCTAAGTAGAATGCCTCTAATGGCTTCCATTTGACCTTTCCCACCATAATATCCCACTCTCCATAGTAAGGGAACCATCATGGGAATTCTGCCAGCTGCTAAGTATGTCAATTCCAATTATGCACCTTGGAACTAGGGAAATAACTGCAGGATGCATTTGGGGTCCCAGTGAACCCACTGTGAGTTGGACTTAAGCTAAAACTCCATTGGTAACCTGACCTCCATAAGCTCCTACTCTGAGTGTACGGCCATAGTGATGTTCCAGGTCTCCTGGAATCAATGTCAGTTTAGAACAAGTACTCCCTGAAAGATCTGATTTTTCCCTCCAATGCACAGTTACTCCTGTAAAAGGCCACAGATCCCCTTGGAGAAGGCTGGGACAAAGATTAACAGTATACATTTTCGGACAACTCGGTAGTGGCCACTGCGCAGACCAGACTTCGCTCGTTTTCGTGCGCCTCGCTCCGCTTTTCCTCCGCAACCATGTTTGACAAACCCGATATGACTGAGATCGAGAAATTCGATAAGTCGAAACTGAAGAAGACAGAGATGCAAGAGAAAAATCCACTGCCTTCCAAAGAAACGACTGAACAGGAGAAGCAAGCAGGCGAATCGTAATGAGGCGTGTGCCGCCAATATGCACTGTACATTCCACAAGCATTGCCTTCTTATTTTACTTCTTTTAGCTGTTTAACTTTGTAAGATGCAAAGAAGTTGGATCAAGTTTAAATGACTGTGCTGCCCCTTTCACATCAAAGAACTACTGACAACGAAGGCTGCGCCTACCTCTCCCATCTGTCTATCTGGCTGGCAGGGAAGGAAAGAACTTGCATGTTGGTGAAGGAAGAAGTGGGGTGGAAGAAGTAGGGGTGGGACGACAGTGAAATCTAGAGTAAAACCAAGCTGGTCCAAGGTGTCCTGCAGGCTGTAATGCAGTTTAATCAGAGTGCCATTTTTTTGTTGTTGTTCAAATGATTTTAATTATCAGAATGCACAATTTTTTAAATATGCAAATAAAAAGTTTAAAAAAACAAACAAACAAACAAAAAAACCCACCAGTATACATTTTCAGTAGTGTATCAGGGTTTTTCCTTGAGGAGACCCAGCCTCCCCTTCATTCAAGGGATTCTGGGTTTGTAAACTGGCTCAAGTCTGAGAATTGATTGAGGGACCACGATTCTCTGCTTTTATGATTTGGGTTAGACTTTTATTGATTTGACCTGGAAGTTTTCTGCTCACACAGATTAAATAAAAATTTAGTATGCTACCCCAGTATTACCCTAATACCAAAACCAGGAAAGGACATAATAAAAAAAGAAAATTCCATACCAATATCTTTGATGAACATAAATGCAAAAATCCTCAACAAAATATTAGCTAACTGAATTTGACACCCTATCAAAAAAATAATACACCATGGTCAAGTGGGTTTCATACCAGGGTTGGTTTAACATATGCAAGTCAATAAATGTGATACAGCACATAAACAGAAGTAAAAACAAAAATCTTATGATCATATCAATAGATGCAGAAAAACCATTTGACAAAATCCAGTATCCCTTTGTGACTAAAACCCTCAGCAAAATTGGCATAGAAGGGACATACCTTAAGGTAATAAAAACCATCTATGACAAACCGACAGCCAACATACTGAATGGGAAAAAGTTAAAAGCATTCTCCATGAGAACTGGAACAAGACAAGGATGGCCACTTTCACCACTTCTATTCAACATATTACTGGAAGCCCTAGCCAGATCAATAAGACAAGAGAAAGAAATAAAGGGCATCCAAATTGGTAATGAGGAAGTCAAACTGTCACTGTTTGCCGATGCTGATTGTATACCTTGAAAACCCTAAAGACTCATCCAAAAAGCTCCTAGATCTGATAATTAAATTCAGTAAAGTTTCAGGATACAAAATAAATGTACACAAATCAGAAGCACTGCTACACACCAACAGTGACCAAGCTGAGAATCAAATCAAGAACTCAACCCATTTTACAACAGCTACACACACACACACGCACAAGTTGGAATATACCTAACCAAAGAGGTTAAATATCTCTACAAGGAAAACTAGAAAACACTAGGCCAGGCATGGTGGCTCACACCTGTAATCCCAGCACTTTGGGAGGCTGAGGTGGGTGGATCATGAGGTCAGGAGATCGAGACCATCCTGGCTAACACAGTGAAACCCCATCTCTACCAAAAGTACAAAAAATTAGCCAGGCATGGTGGTGGGCACCTGTAGTCCCAGCTACCCGGGAGGCTGAGTCAGGAGAATGGCATGAACCTGGGAGGTGGAGGTTGCAGTAAGCCGAGATCAGGCCACTGCACTCCAGCCTGAGTGACAGAGCGAGACTCCGTCTCAAAAAAAAAAACAAGAAAGAAAGAAAACACTGCTGAAAGAAATCACAGGTGACACAAATGAGTGGAAACACATCCCATGCTTATGGATGGGTAGAATCAATATTGTGAAAATGACCTTACTGCCAAAGACAATTTATAAATTCATTGGAATTCCCATCAAAATACCATCATCATTCTTCACAGAATCAGAAAAAAAAAATTGTAAAATTCATATGGAACAAAAAAGAGCCCACATAACCAAAGCAAGACTAAACAAAAAGAATAAATCTGGAGGGATCACATTACCCAACTTCAAACTATACTATAAGGCTATAGTTACCAAAACAGCATGGTAGTGGTATAAAAAAAGGCACTTGGACCAATGGAACAGAATAGAGAACCCAGAAATAAAGCCAAATACTTAACAGCCAACTGATCTTTGACAAAGCAAACAAAAACATAAAGTGGGGAAAGGACATCTCCACATTCAACAAATGGTTCTGAGATAATTGGCAAGCCACATGTAGAAGAATAAAACTGGATTCTCATCTATCACCTTATGCAAAACTCAACTCAAGATGGATCAAAGACTTAAATCTAAGACCTGAAACCATAAAAATTCTAGAAAATAACATTGAAAAAAATCTTTCTAGACATTGGCTTAGGCAAATACTTCATGACCAAGAACCCCAAAGCAAACACAATAAAAACAAAGATAAATAGATAGGACTTAATTAAACGAAAAAAGGCTACTTCACAGCAAAAAAAATAATCAGCAAAGTAAACAGACATCCCACAGAGTGGGAGAAAATATTTGCAAACTATGCAACCATTAGACGAAGGATTAATGTCCGGAATCTACAAGGAACTCAAACAAATCAGCAAGAAAAAAAAACAAATAATTCCATTAAAAACTGGGCTAAGGACAGGAATAGACAATTCTCTAAAGCAGATATACAAATGGCCAACAAATATATGAAAAAATGCTCAGTATCACTAATTATCAGATAAATTCAAATCAAAACCACAATTCAATACCACCTTAGTCCTGCAAGAATGGCCATAATTTAAAAATAAAAAAAAAAGATGTTGATGTAGATATGGTAAAAAGGGAAAACTTTTACACTGCTGGTGGTAATATAAATAGTACAGCCACTATGGAAAACAGTATGGAGATTACTTAAAGAACTAAAAGTAGAACTACCATTCGATCCAGCAATCCCACTTTTCCTCTGGGTAGAGGAAAATAAGTCATTATATATAAAAACAAACAAACAAAAAAACACTTGCACATGCATGTTTACAGCAGAACAATTCACAATTGCAAAAATATGGCGCCAGCCTAAATGCTCATCAACCAACGAGTGAATGAAGAAAATGTGGTATATATACCACGGAATACTACTCAGTCATGAAAAGGAATGAAATAATGGCATTCGCAACAACCTGGATGGAGTTGGAGACGATTATTCTAAGTCAAGTAACTCAGGAATGGAAAACTGAAGATCATATGTTCTCACTTACAAGTGGGAGCTAAGCTATGGGGATGCAAAGGCATAAGAATGATATAATGGGCCAGGCGTGGTGGCTCACACCTGTAATCCCACCACTTTGGGAGGGTGAGGCAAGTGGATGACTTGAGGTTAGGAGTTCAAGACCAGCCTGGCCAACATGGTGAAACCCCGCCTCTATTTTAAAAATATGAAAAATTAACCAGGCATGGTGGCACAGGCCTGTAATCCCAGCTGCTTGGGAGGCTGAGGCAGGAGAATTGCTTGAACCCAGGAGGTGGAGGTTGCAGTGAGCCAAGATTGTACCACTGCACTCCAGCCTGGGTGACAGAGCAAGACTCTGTCTCAAAAATAAATAAATAAATAAATAAATAAATAAATAAATAAATAAAACGATATAATGGACTCTGGAAACTTGGTGGGAAAAGTGAGAGGTAAGGGATTCAAGACTACACATTGGGGGCAGTGTACGCTGCTCAGGTGATGGGTGCACCAAAATCTCAGAAATCACACCTAAAGAACTTATCCATGTAACCAAGCACCACTTGTTTCCGAAAAACTATTGAAATAGTAATAATAATAAAAATAATTTTAAAAAAGAATGTAGTAGGCTTCCCATCTATTTCACTTCTAAGAACACCATGATTAATTGACCAATGCTGTAGTCTACACAAGTCAGAGTATTCTGATGGTTGCTCTGATTCTGCTGTTCACCATAACTATGCTCACCACACCTTTGGCAGTTGAGTGCTGCCACTTGGCCCATGCTACCCTGGGATCCAGTTACTCCCACGACATTTAATTTTACCAATTGAGTCACTGTGGTTCCTACTGCAAGGTCTGGCCTACAGAGAAGAACAATCACAGAGCTTTTCAAGGATGTTGGGGCTCCACTTGGAAATCTATTTCTTAAAGTATTGGCAAAGGTTATGTCTTCTGAACTCTCCCAAAGTGGGTGAGTAGGTCTTAAATGGCAAATCTACCCTAATTACATTCCAATCTCCTTAAGCCTCTCAAGTTCTTCCTGTATGTTAAATCAAGAGATAATAGGCATCTCCAACTTACACACCATGAGTCATCTTTTGATCCATCTTTCAGCTAAACAACCAAACTGTCAAGAGTCCTAACTCCCTGAGTTGCAACATTAAATGAAGGCTCTCTTCTTAGTAGGTCAATATCAAATTCATTCTGATCCAACTTTATGTTCCTTCCATTACTATACCAAACCCTCAATATCTATTCCAACCCATGTTCCCCAGATTTCTTCTTGTATAAATTGGAAATTTTTCAAGTGGTTCTTTTGGAATGCAGTGCACCTCCTCATGGGTCACACTTTGTACCTCACCTTTAGGGGCCTGCTGGGGCTTCAGTCTAGTTATAAGTCTAGAAACAAAGAGGGGTGGTGGGGGATAGGTCCGGAGAAAAATCTGAATTGTCTTGCTTGACAACTGCCTTAGGGAATGCCATTACCATTTCCTCAGGCAGTGCAAAGTTAATCCCCTCAGACAGAGGTGGAAAGGCAGATACTGTTGTGGGTGGGGAAGGCTGCTAACATTAAGGTTGGGATGCCACTGCTGCTAGGGGTGAAGAAGCAACTTCCACTGGCATAAAAGACTCATCCAAATTTAGGAGCTCAATGTCCCCAGCTTCATCAGAGTCTTCCCACACGTCCACATCCAAACTTATAGGATCCCATTCTTTCCCAATCAATGCTCTCACTTTAACAGTAAATACTCTGCAAGACTGGGAGTTCAACTTTTACTGTAATTCAATTATATAATGAAACTTTGTGTTTGGTTTTTAGCAATTTTATCCCTGTGGCTACAGGACATAAGATTCTCCCTCAGGATACACCTAGAAACTCTTAGGTCACATATGCATTGCTTGAGCCTAGAATT